TATATATATATATGGGGTTTGCTAATGTACTCCCACACTTTTTTTAATGGGAGTATTTTAGCATTCTACACCTTTTCTTTTTGACAAAAAAATCATTTCTCTTTTTTAAAAACAACTTACACTAACAGGGTAAAGCTGTAATTTTTTCATGCCGCATCGATTCTCGTTAAGTTGAAACTCACGAATAATTAATGAGGCTAGGGTTGCTCCTTATGTGTAAAATCCAGTCAGCAACCTCTGATTCACATAGTTTCCTATTACGAATATACGACGCTTGCCAGCACCCTCACACGTGCAACCTAGTTTGTCTGTGATTGCGGCCCATATCGTCGTAGGATGGTAGAAAGGGCCATATACGGCGCTCAAACGAATCAAAATCCTCGGGTGTGAAGGTTTTATTCCTCCAGCATTATGCGACATCATTCCTACTGCAATCCCAAACTTGTATGTTATTCAATCATCCCTTGTCATTTATTTATTTGTTTGTTACATTCTTCACCTTTTCTCTTTGAAAGTTAATGGCTTTGCATCTGTTACTTCTATTTTATGTTTTTGTATTTGAGTAGTATTTCTTTCTTTTTCTGTATTTTAGAATTTTATACACTTTGCTGTTGTCTATTTGTGTTAGATTGCTATGTTTTTTTTTTTAACAAATTGCATAAATTATGAACGTTGATTCCACTTATGAATGACTATTTAGTTTCTTTATTTTCTATTTAAATATGAAAAAAATATGAAAAAAATCAGATTTAAGCTAAGATCACAATGGCATTTGAAGTAAGAGATGGTGTTGGTGATTGGCCTTTAGAGCTTTTTAAAGATTGTGCTTCTACAAGTGAAATTGATGGAAATACAGTTTCTTTTACATTTCAAGAGTCTCAAGAAGAACCACTGCTTGAAGCCAATAATATTTATGATGAAGTTCCTTATGAAGGGCAAATGTTTAATAGCTATGGTGAAGCTTATGAATTTTATTATGCATTTGCACGAAAAAATGGCTTTTCGATTAGACGTGAACATACTTACAAATCTAGTAAGAATCAAACTGAGGAGAATCCATTGGGTATTTATAAAAGGGAATTTGTTTGTCATCGTGCTGGTTCTGTTAAACAGCGCAAAATTATTGAAGAGGAAAGTCAAAGAAAACGGAAAAGTTCAAGATGTAATTGTGGGGCAAAAATGTTGATTAACAAAAAGACAATTGACTTTGAGGAAAAATGGGTGGTTAAATATTTTTATAATTACCACAACCATGATTTATTAGATGATAAAGAGATTCAGTTTCTTCCTGCATATCGAAACATCCCAATTGTTGATAAAAATCGTATACTGTTATTGTCAAAAGTTGGTTGCTCTGTAAGCCTCATAATAAGAGTGTTGGAGTTAGAGAAAAGGATTGATCCAGGAAATCTACCATTTTTAGAGAAGGATATTAGGAATTTTATTCAATCTGAAAGTGGTATTGATAAAGAAAATGATGCTTCAAATCTTCTCAAATTATGCAAAAGTTTGAAAGATAGAGATAATGCCTTCCAATATGATTTCACAATAGATGAAAATAACAAATTGGAGCATATTATTTGGGCATTTGGTGATTCAATTCGAGCATATGAAGCTTTCGGAGATGTGGTTGTTTTTGATACAACATATCGAATAAATCGTTATGATACGCCTCTTGGATTATGGGTTGGGGTTGATAATCATGGAAATTCAATTTTTTTTGGTTGTGTTCTATTGAGAAATGAGAAGTTTTCTTCCTTCACATGGGCTCTAAAGGTAAATTTCAATTATTCGTAGTTGTCAATTTTTACTTAATTTCTATCTTTGAGATTTTAGGCCATTATTTAAATTTTCTTTTCTTTTTTCAGAGTTTTTTAAATTTTGTCAAAGGAAAATGTCCACAAACAATTCTTACTGACCAAGATCTTGCACTCAAGGAAGCTATCTCAATGGAGTTCCCGAACACAAAACATGCATTTTGCATATGGCACATTGTGGCAATGTTATCAAGTTGGTTTTCTTTTCCATTGGGTTCAAGATACAATGAATTCAAATATGAGTTTTATAGGTTGTACAATTTAGAATGTGCAAATGATTTTGAGCAAGAATGGAACTTGATGGTTTCACAATTTGGTCTAAGTATGGATAGGCATATTGACTTACTCTATTCCCATCGTCAATTTTGGGCCCTAGCTTATTTGAGAGACTTATTTTTTGCTGGGATGACAACAACTGGACGTTCAAAATCTATGAATTCATATATAAAAAGATTTTTGGATGTCAAAACAAGTTTGATTGATTTTGTAAATCAAGCAAGAACTTACATGGGTTCCTTGATGTAAGTATATTATTTTGTAATCAATTAGCTTTTTAGTTTCTTATGGTTAATGTACTTTTATGTAGGTTGGTGTTGCTGTCAACATTAGAAATCAAGCTGGAGAGGAGGCAAGAATGCGTCAAAAGTACTATAATCCTCAAATTATAACAGGTTTTCCTCTTGAGGAACATGCTGCATCTATACTCACACCATATGCCTTTGAATTGCTCCAACATGAGATCCAATTATCTACAAAATATGCTGCAATTGATATTGGCAATGACTCATGCATAGTGCGACATCATACCAAAGTTAATGGAGGTCGTTCTGTCAGTTGGATAGATGAAGAAGAATCAATTCATTGCTCTTGTAAAGAATTTGAATTTTCTGGAATATTGTGTAGACATGCTATTCATGTGCTATTGATGAAAAATTATTCGTGAGTTTCAACTTAACGAGAATCGATGCGGCATGAAAAAATTACAGCTTTACCCTGTTAGTGTAAGTTGTTTTTAAAAAAGAGAAATGATTTTTTTTGTCAAAAAGAAAAGGTGTAGAATGCTAAAATACTCCCATTAAAAAAGTGTGGGAGTACATTAGCAAACCCCTATATATATATCATTTATGGTATTTGATAATCAAATCATTTTTATATATGTTATTCCTTTACATATTGAAGGAATAAAAACTTCTTTGGTACTTGAACTTAAAAAACAAATGAAGATATGTTTTTTGATAAAGAAAAGACAAACAAATATCTTGAAGTGTGTAAAGTCTCAGATAAAGTCATTTCTAATTGACACATAATAGTTTATCTCATGTTGTACCTTAAAGATGTAAGTAACCTCCTTGTTCAGATAAAAAGTAACAGTTTGGTAAAATGTATTAAATATTTGCATTTAATGCACCAATGAACTCTTCTCATTAAAAGGATGGAAGACCAAAAAAAATGAAACAAACATATAAGAGAAGTTCAATTAAATATTTATTAAATGTCAAGGTCGCATATTCGATCCCTAGTGGGACCAATTATTGAGGGAGGAAATTGTTTATCGGGTGACATCAATTATTTCGTGGGTGACATCAGTTATTCCGTGACGAAGGTGAGTCAAGTCACAGTTGACATACATGATACCTTTTTGCTCAGTAATAAGCACTGAATGAAACACTATGTGTATCAGATACAACTATTTCTATTATTTTAATTTTTATTTAACCAAGAAGCACCTAAATATTATTATTCAAGGTTATTTCTCATTTATTCTATAATTTAACTATAATAATAATAATAACAATAAGGCTTAAATATATTTTTAGTATCTTAAATTTAAGATAAATTTATTATTTTTAGTCCTTAAATTTAAAACTAGTATTTTTAGTTTTTGGTTTCAAAAAATCTTATTTTAACTATTATATTCAAATTTTATTAGGAAATCTATTAAATATTATTACATAAAATAACCTATTATTTCTCTATTAATGAAAAAATTATATTAAACTTAATTGATATTACATAACTGTCTTAATTTATTACTTTTAAATATATTAGTAGTGATTTTGAGAAACTAAAACAAAAATTTTAAAAATTACAAAAGTTACACATAACAATTTCAAATTTGAGAAATGATAAATAAACTTATCCTAAATTTAAATGAAAAAAAATATTTAAACTGATATATTATATTAAAATATCGTATTGACTTGATCCGTTCATAAATTTTAGATTTTAATCAAATCGAATTCGATTTCAAATAAATATCTCGACCAGATAAAAACAAAGATAAATTTGTTGTAATTAATCTATCCCTTTCTCAATCATACCATTTAGTGTTATACAAATACTTGAGCAATAATGCTCCATCCAATAAATTCATTTGCAGACTCCTAAAATAGAATTGAGTAGATGATGGGGAACTAATTGCTACCTTTTTTTTAATCGTAAGTAGCATATTATTAATTATTAAGACTAAAAAAATAATTAAATTAGTTATTTTTAATCAATTTTATCACAAATTCAAATTTATTTAAAAAATACTTTTATTTAAGTTATTACTATATTTAATATAAAAATCATAATCCAATGAATAAAGAATAAGTGAATGAATAGAAAATAGAGTTAATAAAGAATTATGAAAATAAAAAAAAATTATCCTTAAATAACTTTAAAAATCATTAATTGTCATCTTTAATTTTAAAAAAATCAATTTATTTTTTATATATAGGAGTAGATAGAGGTGGTATTTTATAGTACAGAATATTATACATTTTTCAAACATATATAGCTGAATTTGTGAACAAAATCCAACCCATTATTTTATTAAAACTTCATTCACCAACAGCATGTTTACGCACTCACAACAACGAATACTTGGCTTTCTTTCTTTAAAAAAGATTACATCATTTTTGTAGTTTTTCTTACAATTAAATTCTGACTAATGTCAGCTGAATAAAATTAACCAAAAGAAATTGTTGAAAACAACCATCAAGTAACACATAAAAAGCGATAGGCTATGACCAGGATGGGATTGGGAGCACATAAGTCACATGATTAATTCATTGAAGGAACTTCACAAATATAGATGGGATGTATTCTATAGGATAAGGACAACCTCATCCTGTATAATACTATAAGTTCCTTGCTCTATTTCTTACATAAACATTTGTTAAGCAAACGAATTTCAGACATAAACTGATACAAGTCAAGATTACTTGGCCCAGTTAATAAACTTTTCGAGATTCATTGAAGATCGACCACTTTTAGCTGAGCTATTCACAGTCAATTCCTTCAGTTTCAATGATCTTGCTTTTATCTCTTCATTCCCAAGAAGTTGGTCCACCTTCTTTCTTATCTCTCCCTTCAATATTAGTCCATTTTCATCCTTATCTAACTTCAATCCAACCTTCCACACATCACAAATATACCACCTGTTAACAAATTGGTCACTGAAAAATGGCCAACACAAGAAAGGTACGCCACTACATACACATTCTAAAGTAGAATTCCAACCACAGTGACTAATGAAGCAAGCTATGGCAGGGTGGTTCAATATCTTCCTCTGAGGTACCCAATTGACAATTTTACCTTTACTTCCATGAAATTCATCAGGGTATGTACTATTCGCCTTGTTATTATCATTACTTGGACGTACAACCCAAAGAAAAGGCTTGTCAATGAGATCAAGTCCTAGGGCTAACTCTTTGAATTGGTTGGGTTCAACTATTGCTAAACTACCAAAGGAAACATATACAACAGATTTTGGTGGCTGCTGGTCCAACCATTCTAGGGAAGTTGTGTCTTCTTGCCAGAATGAATTTTTGTTAGTGTCACTTTCCATCAAGGGGCCAATTGGGATGAACCTTGGAGATATTGCAAGTGTTTGAGGCTCAAGATCACAAGTAGAGTTGCAAAGCCACCATTCTCCTAACTCCAAGGTTTTCATCTCTTGAACTATACAAGAGAATAAGGTCTTACTTAGGCCAGCCCATGGCAGGTCTGCAGTATCCATCATAGGCATTTTTGGAGAAAGCTGAATTTTTTGGTTTTTGGTTGGTATTCCTGCAATTGCAAGGGCCAAAGTTAATCAAAATATGCATTGACATCTCAATTTTTTTATATGCATCTTGTTTAAGTGATGGAAGACACGTTATGAATGAATTATTTATTTTGAGATATTGTGTGAATTATTTGAAAAAAAAAACTAATAGTTTTGAAAACAACCATAAAATGGAAGTATTACAAATAATTTATTAACAATGGCCAAATTCTAACCCCAACCAGTAGACATAGTTAATGAAATGTGCCATACCAATAAATTTTCCACACGAACATGACATGACTATTATCCAAAAGTACTCGTATGGTTCACTGCAAACTCAAATCATTATTATGTAGTATCTAGAGTGGGTTACGACAGTAACAAAACTTGTTTGATGATATACTAGATGGTTCAAAATCTGCGAATTTTGAGAGAAATTAATAGCCATGTGCACATACTGCATAATTTGCTTCGATCATGGTGAGTACTTTCAATACTTTCAAATTAAAATGTGAAACAAAAGTTTTATTTCCTAACTTCAGGAAATTAAATGCCTTGGTTAATTTTGTATGTAACTAACGGTATAAAAAAAATTACTGTAACAAGAATCAGTGACTATATATTATTCTTACCATCTGGGTCTATAATTCCATCATGAATGAGGCTTGGGATGCAATAACATGCTGCCAAGGAAGTAGCAGATGCAGTCCACAGAAGAGCTCCTTTAATTCCCAATTTGTTGCCAACTTCCAAGGCCCAACCCATATTCATTGTACCAACTATGCAAGTGATGCAATTGTCAACATCCAAAGCATTGATATCTGCTATGAGTTTTGGAAGCATAGCAGGCATATTGCCTTTGATAGATGAAATAACTTTGTTGAAATCACTTCTATCATCTTCAGGGTCTAAACCATCTGGGAGAGTCACAAACTTGATCCTTGATGATCCTTTAAGGTTGTCTGGTCCAGCACCAGCACTATTTGCTCGTTTGTGGTTGAACTCTGTGTGTACAAAAGTGATTTTGCAACCATGTTTGGCTAGAGCCTCACACAATTGCATAAGGGGATTCACATGTCCTTGAACTGGATATGGTATAACAAGAAAGTGAGGGACACCCATTTGGTTGAAAGTTGATTTGCAGGAAAGGAATTTGAGGAGGCTTAAATATATAATCTGAGAATGTGAGATTGACTTGACTATATGCATTTATGGATTAATTCATTTTGTTATGATGGATAATTCAAATTTCATTTGCAAGTGACAGGATGGCCCGGCAGCGAGGGACAAGTCAAAAGTATTTAAGTATGTGTACGAGAACCCATAATATTTATAATTTACGAAAAAATTAAGTAAAACTTTTTGTAATTCATATCGTAAGTGCATACGCAATCAAGTCAAGATACAATAAATGAGATGTTGACACTTCATTAAAATATTAAAAAATAGTTATAAATTAAAATTATTGCTTATTCTATTTTGTTTTCTCTAGTTCCATCTCTTTCGTGGGCAACTCACGGCCCATCAATGATACAAGTCTGAACCAATCTGATAATTTAACAAATTTGAATTAAACCAAATTAAAAACAAATTCATTCATATTATTGGATTAATTCAAATTAAAAAATTACAAACTCAATGGTTTAGATATCAGACTTTAATTTATAAAAGTTAAACTAAGTTGCTCATCTATTTAAAAATATTATTTTTATTTTTTAGTTAGATTTAGTTATTTAGTTTGGGCAATGGAATTTAATTAAACTTTTAAAGTCTCTTAAACAATTTATTCAAGATCTTATTTAATAAGCTTAATAAATTCTTATATAATGAAAATTTATGTTATAAATCCTTAAAATTTAATAAGTTTTTTTCTATTTGGATTATCATTATTTAAGAATTTATAAAATATTATTTTATTTTAAAAGTTTTAAAAAATTATAAATTAAATTTTGATTGAAAGTAAAATAAAAATATAAAAAGTGGCTAAATAATTTTTAAAAATAAATTTATAAATCATAATAATATTAAAATGATAAAAAAATTATATTAATCATTATTCACCTAATTTTAGTTTATAAAAAATAAAATTAATGATAAAATATGAGAAATCAATTATATATATTATTTTAGAGAGAAAAAAAAGTTACAAGAATTTTTTAATGATAAACGTGAATTTTGGGGGAAGAGATAGAAAAAAAAATAGCAGAAAATAAAAAAAAATAAAGAGAAACAAAAATTTTTGGAGAGAGAAAAAAACTTTTGAAAGGAGTAATGAAAAATATAAAAACTCTTATTAGAGAAAGAATAAAAAAAATCATTTATGTTATGTTAGTAATAAGATTTAAATTTGAGTATTTCTTATTATATTTTTACATAAGTTAAGTAATAAATTATATTAAACAATTTATCAAAATAAACTTAAAATATCTTATAAATTATTCATAAGTATTTTATAAATTTATCCAAATATTCTCATAAATTCTTGAAGAATAAGATAAATACAAATAAGTTGTTCATAAAATTTTTCAAATAAAATTTTAGTAAAAGATAAATGCATTTAAATAAGTTTTAAGTATAATACTCTATAACTTTAGGAAATAAATTTATAATATTAAATATTTTATCAATTGAACTTGATGACATGATAGTATACTTTACAAATTGTGTAACATAATTTCAATTTCTTCATTTTATATCAACATAAATATGTTTTTATTCTATGTAAAATGTGGGGATTTTGATTTTTGATCTTTGTAAAAATTCTTTTTTTCTTATTCCTAATTACTATTTTTAACCTTTATTATTATGTGATCTTTTATTTAATTATATATTTATTAAAATGTTAAGTAATTATTCTATGTAGTATTTACAATTATATATGATATTATCTCAACATGTGATATGTCTAAGTTTTTTTTATTTATATTCTTAAAAATAAATGTTATTTATTATAATAAAATGATAGTTAAGAATCAAGAATAATAATTTTAAATTTTAAAGAAATAAAATTAAAAAAAAATATTTTTTTGAGACAAATTAAAATTTGTTCATTTACAGAAAAAAAATAATGCTCCCAAATTTTATAAAATGTAAAATAAAGAAAAGAATTTAGAGAAGCCAAAATCAAAACTACTTATTATTCTACATGGACTAAAAATATGTTAAGTCCTTTTTATTATTTTAATAATAAATTCAATAATTTGAATTGAATTAGAGACATGTCTCACGTCTAATCCAATTATGTTATACAATTCGATTCCGATTTATGTTCGGTCCTACAGAGTATCGACCAGCGTCCCTCCTTTGTCATGATGCGATTTAAGGATCTGCATCTTTTCGGTGGCAGTGTTTAATGTGCCAATCTCCGATAAACATAAACGCTTCTTGCGCCAAAAATAAAATTGTCGACCGCATCTATCCAAATTTTATACAATATTTTTAAGCATAATTAGTGTTAATTTTTTAATTAAAATTAAAATTCATCTGTAAAATATACATAAATATATATTAATAAGACTTATATTAAATATAAATATATATTATTGAGTTAAATACCAATTTTAATTAAAGATAAACACCAACACCAACTAAATTTTATCCGATAAAAAATGGTTTTTGGGTTTCTCTTTCTGTATAAATATACAAAATCCAAAATGACAAATAAGGTTGTAAACGATCCTCTATTTGAACCTATCATCATCATTCATCAGCACTAATCACTCTCACCAGCCCCAAAATCCAAATAAAAAAGTATCGCTATGTATGCGGTAGTGCGGGTAGGCTTTTGTTGGGACAGAAGATAAATAATAAATTGGTATTCATTATTTTATTTTTCTTCGATTAAATTTTGATATCTTGACGTGTTGTCACTTTTTAATTGATTGTGCTTAACACCTCATCTTTGGGTCTGTGTTCATCGTAAGTTTCACTCTAATTGAAAAATGGAAACTACAATTATGTAACACAAAACCCGATAGGCTAGTACCAATGAATGAAGGGGAGACATGATTCATTGAACGAACTTAGTACTACTGTACACAAATGGGATGCACACGACAGGTCCTAATTAATAACTTCTGCTGTCTGTTTATTATGAGATCATGCTTTGTCTAATACAGAAATATGTGAACCAAACGAATTTCAAACATTAAATACAATGAATAAAAAAAAAACACCAATCAAACCATGGTTATTACATTGCCCAATTGATAAACTTATCCAGATTTTTTGAAGACTCACCACCTTCAGCTATGTTGTTCATGGTCAATTCCTTCATATTCAATGATCTTGCTTTTCTGACTTCATCCCCAAGTAATTGCTCCACCTTCTTCATTATCTCTTCTTTTGATATTAGTCCATTTTCATCCTTGTCTAATTCAATTCCAACCTTCCACACATCACAAATATATGACTTGTTAACAAGTTGATCCTTGGCAAATGGCCAACACAAGAACGGTATGCCACCACATACACCTTCCACAGTAGAATTCCAACCACAGTGACTAATGAAGCAAGCCAGTGAAGGATGGTTCAATATCCTCTTTTGGGGTGCCCAACTAATTATTTTACCTTTATTTCCATGGAAATCAGGTGGGTATGCATTAACATCTACCTTGTCGTTACTTGGACGTACAACCCAAATAAAAGGCTTGTCAATGAGATCAAGTCCAAGGGCTAATTCCTTAAATTGGTTGGGGTCCATCACTGCCAAACTACCAAAGGAAACATAAACAACAGATTGAGGTAGTTGCTGATCTAGCCACTCCAAACAAGTTGTGTCTTCTTCCCAGTATGAAATTTTGTTGCTGTCACTTGCCACCAATGGACCAATTGGAAGAAGCCTTGGTGATATGGAAAACGCTGCAGGCTCAAGATCATAAGTGGAATTGCAAAGCCACCACTCTCCTAGCTTCATAGTTTGCATCTCTTGCACAAGATGATCAAAGTGTAACTTATCATTGCCACGCCATGGAAAGTTTTCAGTGTCCATCATAGGCATATTTGGAGAGAGTTGAATTTCTCGTCTTTTGATAGGGATTCCTGCCGTGCCCAAAAAAATCAAACCACGTGTTAGTTATTTAGTTAGTATAATTAGTAATTTCTCAAAAATTTGACATAAAAGAACTATAATGTATAACAAGCATATGTAATTGTGAGTTTTTTGGATACAAATTTAGAAGAGTTTATGAGAGTTTCTATACTGGAAAAAAAAAATAGTAAAAAAATTCTCCAAAAGCTTTTTAAAGTTTCTATATAGAGACTCAATTATTCTTACCATATGAATCTATAATCCCATCATGAATCAGCCTTGGAATGCAATCACACAAGGCTAATGAAGTTGCTGATGCAGGCCACAGAAGTGCACGTTTGATTCCCAAACTGTGGCCAACTTTCAAGGCCCAGGCCATGCTCAATGTGACAACTATACAAGTGATCTTATTGTTGACATCTAAAGCATTGAGATGCTGTATGAGGTTTGGAAGCATAGAGGGCATGTTGGTTTTGATTGAGAGAGCAACTTTCTTCTGATCACTTCTATCATCTTCAGGGCACAAACCATCAGGGAGTGTCACAAACTTTATCCCTGAGCCCTTGAGGTTGTCTAGGCCAGCACCAGTGGTGTTCAACCGTTCGTGGCTGAACTCAGTGTTGAGAAAAGTGATGTTGCAGCCATGTTTGGCTAGAATCTGAGACAAGTGGATAAGGGGATTCACATGGCCTAGAATTGGATATGGTATAACAAGAAAGTGAGGGGTGCCCATTGTGGTTGGAAATTGAATCAGAGAGTGAAGAGATTAAAAGATGTTATTTAGTAGTGTGAGTGTGATTGTGGCTTGGGCAAGAGTTTGCTCAGTTGCCATCAAATTTAAAGATGCATCAACTTTTTGGTACAAGAGTACTAGGTTCATCTCCACCCACGCCATTACATGTACAAAAACATATCGAAGCTTGTTTCGTTTTCAAAGAACACCAACAAAAGACAAAACATGAAAAACATTAAGGTAATTATTTTTTTAGTCTAACTTTCTTACAGTGTCAGTCAACTTTTAAAAGTTTTTACACTACTATACCATTTTTGTTCAAAAGTTTATAAATATTTTTTAAATAGTTATTATAAAAATTAACAATTTTATTATATATACTTTAGTTAAATTCTTTTACAGTACACGTATAAATATAAAAAATATTTTTTACACGAGTTGATGAATTTGTGATTAATTACTTTTAAGAACATAATTTAAGAGTATATTATATATATATATTATTAATATTATAAAAATTATACTATAATATACATATACAATGTCATATATAACATATTTATTAATCTTCATAACAAATAAATTTTTGGGTGTCCTGTTATGGATATTCCCAATCCACTGAGTGAGAGCCTAATGGGATTTCATAACAATTAATTCAAAAATTATATAAGAATAATTTTAATTTTAGTTAATTAATTGGGTAAATAGTAAATATTTTTACTGTTTAGTTCGTAATTTAAAACAAAGACGTTTACGACAAAAGGTTATCCATATATACGTGTCGTGTATATCTTCGTGGGCAAATCAATGCTCAGTTGGCATTTTTTTATTTATCTAATTTAGTGCGTGTTTGCTTTAGCTTTTGGACGTGAAAATTTACGTGTGTGAAAAGCAAAAAATTGTAGCTTCTACGTAAATTGGCTTGTAAACGTGGAGAGAGAGTGAAAAATCACGTTTCTAAATCTAAAGCAAACACGCACTTACTCTTCAAATATTTTTTTTTTATGTAATTAGTTCAATTCAACTTTTTTTATTAAAAAAATTAATCTATTTCTTTAAATTTTAAAAAGTACAAATCAAATTGAATTTAATGATGTTAATTTTTTTATACACATGACACTATTTTTTTTATACCTTTAGCGTATTTTTGTAGGGGCCGCTTTACAGAAATTATTGTTCAAATCCAATAATGAGGTGACACTCATTTTTAGCGTATTTTTGTACTGAACATAAATATAACAAACCTTATGAAATTCCATTAAAACAATATACCCTATGAAATTTAGCTAATTAGGTTGAATTATTAAATTGCTAGGAGCTAGTTCCTTTGTTTTCTTGGGATAAAATAAGAAGCAAAAAGAGTAAAACTCAAGAATGAAGCAAAAGATGAAAATGGTTGGGTAGTGTAATGCAGAATGGCTTGCGGTGCCTACAACAAACACAGGAACAATGCGGCTTGAGGAGCAGGATATGAACATATATTAGTAAGTTTTTTTTCCAGCAAATGGAGCTGTGCCTTTTTTTTAGCCTAATTCCTTGTATAATATCATGCCAAATTATAGATAAATGAAATTTTTTAAACAAGATCTAAGCAGTTTATAATATAATTTGTAGATATTTTTATTTAATTTTAGTTTTTAATCAGTTAAAAAGTTTCTTTAACTAAATTAGTAGTGTGCGCTTGGTAAATATTTCTTTTGGTAGCTTATATATTATATTTTAACATGCTACTTTGTGTGTTGTTTGACAAATATTTCCGGTTAGTTTTAAACTTTTTTTTTACTAAAGTTAAAAAGTTTGTTTCAACATATCGGTAATGCTTGATAAACAAGTTTGTTTTAGTAGTTAATTATAACATTTTTGACATACAAGTTCACAAGTACTAATTAGACCCACAGTAAACATTTTGTTATAGTTAGTTTGGTCTGTCTTGTTTAATATATCAATTTATTGAGTCAAATGATAGGTTGGAACATGTTAATCCACTAATTTACTTATTATTGTTATTTTTTAATATTTTTAATATTAAATTTAAATAAATTATTTCAAATTTATTATATGAGTAATCTGTAATTTATTGTGTAATAAATATATTGTGTATTTAATTTATTTTATTATATAAAATTTGAATTTTTTTATGTAACTAATTTGTTAAAAGAATTATTATTATTATTATTATTATATATCTATTTTGTTATGTAATAAATTTGAAATTTGTTAAACATTATATCAAACTAAAGCTATTAATTTAAGATTTATTTTATTATTTAAATACATTAATTTATATGAATTTTTAAATATTAAAAAATATATTAAAAGAAATTTATAAAACAAATATTTTTTTTATTTTTTGACAAATTGATCTATCAACTTCAATCCACACTGGAATCCATTTTTACTTGACAGGTGATTCGAATCCGACCTGTTTTTGACGTGTTAAGGTTTATTAAATTTGTTAGAAATATATATATATATATATATATATATATATATATATATATATATATATTTTTTATATTGCATGATTGCATGATTTCCACTATGTTTTAGTTTGATGATGTTAAATAATTTATTTTTGGATAAAGTTGTCAATATATGGTTCGGTGTACATGAATGTCACGTCTCATTGTCATCGCATGCATGCCACGTGGCAACGAGAAGCCAAGTGCAAACTGACCACGCCAACGTGGAATAAAGATGGCATATGCATGCCCTTTATAAGTCCTATGAATTAGCGTTTTCTTTTGCTAATAGATAAGGCTTTTCAAAATTCAATGAATCCAAATTAAAATTATAAATGGATAGAAAATTATAAATTAATGATCTGATTTAGTTTTTAAATTTTTAAAATTGTTCAATTTGATTTCATTTTTAAATTAAAATTAGAAACTACTTCTAATCAAATTAAATTGTATTAATTTTAAATATATATTTTTCAAATAATATCTGTATATAAAATTGATACATAATATAAAAAATATTTTATCGGTGTAAAATAGTACCTCTTACTCACTAGTTATTTTGAATTACTTAAGAACTTTTTATCATTAAATAACTTTTATGCTTTAAATATGTCGTAGCCTTATAGAGTGTACACACACATTAAATATTTTTATTAATATTAAATATATTAAATAATCAAAATGTTTTTAGTATTTATATATTTTAAATTTTATTTTATTTATCCATGTTATTAAATAAATAACATATATTACATAATTTTAGTTTATTTTAAATAAGAAATTTTTAAAATTACAGATCGAAATTAATGGTAAAAGATTGATTTGATTTGGTTCGAATTTAATAATTTATTCTAATCGAAATAATTAACATTTATTTCATCTTCCTTATAATTACTGTTTTAACATTTAATATATATATCTCAAAATAATTATTAGAATATTTTTATTTTTTAATGTTATATTAATTATTTAATTTTAATTCATTTTTTCATAATTATTCAACGTAATATATTTATTAAAAAATGAATGATTTATTTTAATAAAATTATATAACAAAGAGGTACATTTATTTTTTAATGTGTGTGTAAAAGTTTTAAAATTCAGTGGCCATTGTAGAATGGAGGGAGGAAAAGAAGAAACTCTTAAAAAAAAAAATAATCATATAAAAGTCAAACGTACATTTAAGGGAAACTGAACAAACTCTTCCCAAGTAATAATACAGTAACACACTAGCTACCATCTTTCAATCACCTTCCCCCCAGAATTGGCTCTGAGAATCAATTTTGAATCACAATGGGCATTCCTCACTTTCTTGTTCTACCATATCCAGTTCTAGGCCATGTGAATCCCCTTATTCACTTGTCTCAGATTCTAGCCGAACATGGTTGCAAAATCACTTTTCTCAATACAGAGTTCAGTCACAAAAGGTTAAACGCCACTGGTGCAGGCCTAGACAGCCTCAAGGGATCAGGGATAAGGTTTGTGACACTCCCAGATGGCTTGGACCCTGAAGATGATAGAACTGACTTGAAGAAACTTTCTCTCTCAATCAAAACCAACATGCCCTCTATGCTTCCAAACCTCATACAACATCTCAATGCTTCAGATGTAAACAACAAGATCACTTGTATCATTGTCACAATGAGTTTGGGTTGGGCCTTGAAAATTGGTCACAATTTGGGACTCAAAGGGGCTCTTCTCTGGCCTGCATCAGCAACTTCGTTGGCCGTGTGTGATTCCATCCCAAGGCTAACTCATGATGGGATTATAGACTCATCTGGTAAGAATAATATTTACTCATTCTTGTTTACATAATAGTTCTTGCATGTTAAAATTTTAAGGTGGAAATTACTAATTAGTTACCAACTAATGCGAAAGGTTCCATTGATCATTATTTTTGGCATTGCAGGATTGCCAATCAAAAAAGGAGAAATTCAACTATCCCCAAATATGCCTATGATGAACACAGAAAACTTACCATGGCGTGGCAAAGATAAGTTATACTTTGATTATCATGTGAAAGAGATGCAAACTATCAAGATAACAGAATGGTGGCTTTGCAACTCTACTTATGATCTTGAGCCTGAAGCGTTTTCCATATCACCAAGTCTCGTGCCAATTGGCCCATTGATGGCAAGTGACAGCAACAAAAGTTCATACTGGGAAGAAGACACAACTTGTTTGGAGTGGTTAGATCAGCAACTACCTCATTCTGTTGTTTATGTTTCCTTTGGTAGTATGGCAGTGGTGGACCCAAACCAATTTAAAGAATTAGCTCTTGGACTTGATTTCCTTGAGAAGCATTTTCTTTGGGTTGTGCGTCCAAGTAATGATAACAAGGTAAGCAATGCATACCCTGATGAATTTCATGGAAGTAAAGGAAAAATTGTAGGTTGGGGACCACAGAAGAAGATATTGAACCACCCTGCCATTGCATGCTTCATTAGTCACTGTGGTTGGAATTCTACCATGGAAGGTGTATGTGGTGGAGTACCTTTCTTGTGTTGGCCATTAGTCAAGGATCAGTTTGTTAACAAGTCATATATTTGTGATGTGTGGAAAGTTGGAGTGGGATTAGACAAGAATGAGAATGGATTAATATCAAAGGGAGAGATAAGGAAGAAGGTTGAACAACTTGTTGGTGATGAAGGCATAAAAGAAAGGTCATTGAAACTGAAGGAACTGACATTGAATAACGTAGCAGAAGGTGGTCACTCTTCAAAGAATCTCGAAAACTTCATCAGCTGGGCACGGTGATAATAATGTTTTAGTATAGTTTGGAAATTGTTGTCGTGGTTGATGAAAGTTTTCATTCTATTTGCATAAAACAAGATGTAGTTTTTGAGGATATTGAATAATATAATTCTCATTATTTCCTTGATAAAGGATTAGAGAGCTTTACCTGAATTCATGATTTAGTTCTTGATGTCTCCCTCGTCTTCTTTGTTTCTTCCTTTCTATGATTCTTGATCCTTGGATGTGGTTTTCTCCCCTATCCTTTTCCCTTTCTTGTTCCTTTGATGACTAAGAAACCTTATTTTGTGTGGTGACTTTCGACATAAGTGGTGTGTTTGTGTATCATCAACCTGCCCTGCTGATGAAGTTTTGAAGATTCTTTGAAGAGTGGCCACCTTCTGCTATGTTATTCAAGGTCAATTCCTTCCGTTTCAATTTTTCTTTTATGCCTTCATCGCCAAGAAGTTGCTCTACCTTCTTTTTTATCTCTCCCTTTGATATTAACCCATTCTCATCCTTGTCTAATCCCACTCCAACTTTCCACACATCACAAATATATGACTTGTTAACAAACTGATCCTTGACCAATGGCCAACACAAGAAAGGTACACCAGCACATACACCTTCTATGGTAGAATTCCAACCACAGTGACTAACGAAGCAAGCAATGGCAGGGTGGTTCAATATCTTCTTCTGTGGTGTCCAACCTACAATTTTTCATCAGGGTATGCATTGTTTTCCTTGTTATCATTACTAGGAGGCACGAGGCACAACCCAAAGAAAAGGCTTGTTAAGGAAATCAAGTCCAAGAGCTAATTCCTTAAATTGGTTGCGATCAATCAATGCCGAACTACCAAAGGCATCATATATAACGGATTGAGGTGGCTGCTGATCTAACCAGTCTATGCAAGTTGTGTCTCCTTGCCATAGTGAGCTTTTGTTGGTGTCACTTTCCATCAATGGGCCAATTGGTAGGAGTCTTGGTGAAATGGTAATTGCTGCAGGCTCAAGATCATATGTATTGTTGCAAAGCCACCAGTCCCCTAACTTAATAGTTTGCATCTCTTGTGCAATATGATGAAAAAGGATCTTAATTGGGCCACACCATGGAAAGTTTTCTGTGTTCATCATTGGCATGTTTGGGGAGAGTTGAATTTCTTGTTTTCTGGTGGGGTTTCCTGCAATGAAAAAAGTAAATCATAACAGCTCTTTTGTTTGTACTTACTCTAGTAATTAACTGAGAAATTAAGATCAGCCATGGGTGAGGTGAAGTCATAGATAAAATTTTCTCAGGAATCTCAACTGTAGGTGCTAGAATCAGAATCAAGAGGAGTATTTCTTAGGTAACACTTGGATTGATTCTCCTAAAATTTGAGCATTGCTTTAATCTGATATGGATGCATGCAGTACCAAGAAAATAAGATGGTGGTGGAACAGCACATGAATGTGTCCAGAATGTGTGGCATATTGAGAAGAAAGTTTCATTCTGTTCATTCGTACATACTATTTGGTGTTAATCTCAAAATTTGGACATGGAAGTACTAGAGTTTATCAAAACAAATCTATCACCTCTCTAGGTACATTTTGGTATCCTAAATCTCAATACAAAAGCTACCCAACTTCCAAAACAGCTCTTTAGTATTTACATCTGTTTCTAAACATAACAGGAAGGTGCCAAACAACAAAATTTACTTGTACAAAACAATTAAAAATTGATACTTCTTGATAATATAAAAGTAGAAGCAATTCAGGTTAAATGAGAAATTTAGTAATTAGCAGATGCAATTTGAATGAGACAATGCAAAATTTAAGCATGAGTATGATATGCAGCAGAGTAACATAAAGATTGGAAATTAGTACAAGTACTGTCCAAAATGATTTAAAATCTTATCTATCCCATCTCTGAATGTAACAATGAGTAAATACTATTCTTTACCATCTGAACCTATAATTCCATCATGAATCAGCCTTGGGATGCAATCACATGGGGCCAAAGAAGTAGCAGATGCAGACCACAGAAGAGCTCCTTTAATTCCCAGTTTGTGGCCAACTTCCAAGGCCCAACCCATATTCATAGTGACAACAATGCAAGTGATGTTATTGTTACCATGCAAAGAATTAATATCTTGTATGAGCTTGGGAAGCATTGCATGCATGTGGGTTTTGATAGAGAAAATAACTTTGTTGTGGTCACTTCTGTCATCTTGAGGGTCCAAACCATCTGGGAGTGTCACAAACTCTATCTGGTTGTCTAGCCCAGCACCTAATTCTGTGTTTGCTCGTTTGTGGTGGAACTCTGTGTTCAGAAAAGTGACCTTGCAGCCATGTGTGGCAAGAACCTGAGCCAACTGCATAAGGGGATTTGCATGTCCTAGCGTAGGATATGGAATCAGAAGTGAGGGCCACCCATTTGCTTGCAAGTTTGTCACTGTTCCTTATTTTAAAGTCAACTTCAACTTGGTTGTTCTTAAAATTAAAAATGCCATTTATCTATTTATTACTTATTACTACTGATAAATAAAAAAATAAAAAAAATTGAATTGACAGTTTATTTTTCTCTCAAAAATTCTTTTCAATTGCTTAATGTTTTCACACGCTTTCACTTTTAAAAAATTTATTTGTTCAAGTAATATTTTTTATCTGTTACTACTAATAAAAAAAAGGTTTTGAATTCCCACATGCCAATCTCTTATTTATTTATTTTTTTTCTCAAAAATATCTTTTCATTTACTTAATACTTTCACATGTTTTGACTTTTTTAAAAAAAGAAACATATGATAGTACTATTTTGTCATATTTTAAAAATTTTGAATAACTTAAAAGCTTTATTCGTTGAAGTAATATTTTTAATTTATTACTACAAATAGAAAAAAAGGTTTTGAATTGTCAGATGTCAATTCTTTATTTATTTATTTTTATTCCAAAAATATCTTTTCACTTGCTTAATACTTTCACAATTTTCATTTTTAAAAAAATCTATTATAATATTATTTTATCATATTTTAAAAATGGTACAAATAAGTAATATTTTTAATCTATTACTACTAATAAAAAAAAGTTTTACATTCACTTACTTAATACTTTCACGCACTTTCGCTTTTAAAAAATTCTATTATAATATTATTTTTTTTGTCATATTTTAAAATGGTCGATAATTTAAAAAATTTTATTTGCTCAAGTAATATTTTTGAATCTTTTACTACTACTTAAAAAAATGTTATAAATGATCACATGTCAATTTCTTATTTATTTATTTATTTTCCTCCCAAAAATACCTTTTCATTTAATATTTTGACAAACTTTTACTTTTAAATTTTTTTATTAAACTATTATTTTGTCATATTTTTAAAAATGTCGATAGTTTTAAAAATCTTATTTGTTCAGGTAATGTTTTTAAAATTTTCAGTTTTATAATACTATTTTGTAATAGTTTGATATTATAATTACAAGGAAATTTTAATTTTTTTAATATATGAGTATTCTATATTTATTATTAATAAATTTTTTATTTTGTATTTTATAAATGATCCAAATTGAAAAAAAAAAACTTATCTCTTAATAAAACATAAAACAATATCATAAATGTAATATATATTTAAACAAATGTAAAATAGAAAAACAAAGTATAATATGAAAAATAAGTTATAATATTAAAAAAAAGTTTAAAAGAAAAAGATTTACTTATACCCATATATTACACAGGTACCACATATTTATCTCCCTAAGATTTCTTTTTCTATTTATATCCATTTTAAATATTTGTTTTTATATTATTATTAGATAAGTATTTTTCTATTATGGAAAATTTAAAATTTAATATTATTCTAATGATAATTAATTTATTATAATGTGTATTTTTTATTATGTTTATTTTACTTTTATTGTCATATTTAAAACTATTTTCATAATATTATTATTATGATAATATGGTCTTAATAAATTATATAATTTTAATAATAATTTTATTAAATAATTATTATAATATATTAGTACTTTAAATAATTTTTACTATTATATATCGATGTCAATTGCAATTATCGTAAATGCTAGATGATATTTTTAAAAAATATTATACTTTAATTTAAAAATCTATAAAATCAGGGACGGAGCCAGGATTTCAATACTGGGGGGCCGAGAATAAATAATATATAATTTATAATAAATGAAAATTAAAGTATCAAAAGCATATTATCTGACAAAACTAGATAATAATTAACATAATTTAATAAAAATTATTTCTCATATTTACATTTGATAAATATATCGAACATATTGCAAGATCAAGTTATTCAAGTATGTACCTTTATTTCTTAAGTTGTGCCCGTCGTTGTTTCATGAAGTAAAAATCATCAATTATCATATCAGTTGTAAATCTTCGTGCAATCTCCTTCTCAATATAAACAATCATGTAGTCAGTAAGAAAACCATCTTCCATCTTGTTGCGCAAACTTGTTTTTATAATCTTCATAGCTGAAAAAGCACGTTCTGTAGTTGCTGTTGACACGGGCAGAGTAAGAACAAGTCGTATCAATCGATCAATTAAAGGATAAACATTTGATTTGCCAACCTCTACTAGTTTTTGACATAATTCACCAAGAGTTGACAAATTATGAAATTTGGGATCCTTTGGCACATCAAACTCATAATGTTGCAATTCATATTCCATATGAATCATTTCTTGGTCAGAAAAATCTGAAGAGTAAAATTTCTTAGCTAGACTACAAATATCACAAGCATTAAATGATTTGAATGCATCTTTAGGATCCAAAGCTACACTCAACATAAGAAGTTCAGTTGATTGCTCGCTGAATCTACTATTCAATTCTTTCAATTGATAATCTATCGCTGCAGTAAATATATCTACACGATAATGATGCTCAACTGTCACAGAATCCTTTTTAAGCCGAGTTCGAATTATGTCAGAGTAAGTAGCACTCATATCAGGAATTGGTACACCTCGGCTATTGCAAAAAGAGTTAACATTTTCTAAAAGAGAATCCCAACCAAAATCCCTTAACTTTTGAATTAGTGACTTTGTGCTAGAAACCAAACACATAGCATTCACAATGTCTTGATTCTTTTGCTGCAAAGCTTGACAAAGCTTGTCTGTGATTCCCATAATTTCTTTCATAACATGTAAAATGAAAACAAATTCAAAAGACATCAATACTCTGAAAGCATAAGTAGCATCACCTCGTTGAGAGCCAGTTCCATTAACCACCAAATCTTCAAGAACTGAAGTAGTTGCATTAAACATGCGTAGAAGGCTACATATTGAATTGAAATGAGAACTCCATCTAGTATCTCCAGGTCTTTGTAGTGTGCCAATTTGATTAGCTCCCCTCCCAGTTTCAATCTCATCATTTGCAACCAAACGTGCAATTTCAGTCTCATAAGCATCATGTAACTCATCATTGCGTTTGCAAGAAGAACACACAACATTAACAATCCTACTCAAGTTTTGAAAAAAAGCATGAACATCACTTGAATCTTTAGATGCAGCAACAAGAGCTAATTGTAACTGATGAGCCAAACAATGTACATAATATGCATAAGGACATTCTTGAAGAATAAGAGCTTGCAAACCATTCCACTCTCCACGCATATTACTAGCTCCATCATATCCTTGGCCTCTAATATTTTCAATGTTGAGATTATGATTAGACAATACTAAACAGATTTCTTGCTTAAGAGTGGATGATGTAGTATCTTTCACATGTACTAAATCCAAGAAGCGCTCTTTAACAAATCCATTCTTATCAACAAATCTAATAACAATAGCCATTTGTTCTCTCTTAGATTCATCTCGAGCTTCATCAATAATCAAACAAAATTTTGCATCACCAATCTCTTCTCGAATTTCATTTTGCACCCTTCTAGCAAAAACATTTAAAATTTCTTTTTGAATAGTAGGTGAAGTGTATTTTGCATTTTGAGGAGCATTCTCCAAGACAACTTGATCTACTTCGTTATTATAAGAAGCTAAGAGTTTAATCATTTCAAGAAAGTTACCTCGATTTGTTGACCACAAACTCTCATCACGTCCTCTAAAAGCACAAGCTTGAAATGTCAACCATTTAACCACATCGATGGATACTTTAAGACGCAACCGATTGCTTAGAATTTGCTGTGAAGTTTGCTTGTTCAACACTTTATCAATGTGGCATGATTGATTCTTGAAATCTTCTAAACATCTAAGAGCAGCATTGTGAACAGAATTAATATTTTTCCCCATGTGAGATAAAAATGCACAATCTTTTCCATTATTCACTTTCTTCCAATTTCTAAATCCTGCCGAAGTGAATGGACTTGGTTTTTTAGAAAATAAAAAACATGGAAAACAATAGGCAGCATCTTTTTCCGGTGAATATTCTAACCAAGAAAACATTCTAAACCAATGAGCTTGAAATCGGCGAGGATGATCTTCAAGACCTGAAAGTGGATACAAATCCATTAAAAATTGATATGGTCCAAACTTCACATACGCCCTACGAATATCATCTTGTTGATTAATAGGATAGTTCCAAATTTGTAAACGTTTTCCAGGATCGCGAATCAAGGTACCACTCTCAATTGTTTCTTGTTCAGTCCTCAAAGCTTTGGGAGGAGGTGGCTGTTGCTCATCAACTTCAGCAACATCATCAACATTTGTATCTAAATTTGAAATTGGTGTATTAGACAGTGTTTCTTCATCATCTCTCTCTTTTCTTTTGAAAAATGATTCAATAGTTGTCTTCCTCATCTTCATTGAACCTAAAAGAATTTAAAACTATAAAAATCATACGAAATAGGCAACAACACTAACACAGTAAAATAACTATTCCAATTCCCTTTATTCTATATCCTAACAATACCACCCCGTGAAAATCAACCTTGTTCTCAAGGTTGGAATCTAAAAACTAAAAAAAAAAATTGACATAAAAACACTTTGTAGTTGGAACTAGGGATGACAAAAATATTCGTACTTGCAGATATCTGTAGATAAAATCCGTTATGGATAATAAATGAGTAACCTAAATGGATATCCGCGGGTAACGGGTACATATATTTTTTTACCCATTTATAAACAAGACAGGGGCGGATACATTAGTATCCATACCCACTAAATAATATTACTTAAACATTCATATTTTTATCTTGCATTTTTTATATTATTTTAAATATTTAGAAAAAATTATCATTAATTACAAGTTCAAAAAATAATATCAATTGTTTATCTTTAATATTTCAATATACTTAACATCAAATATAAGTTTAAAGTTATTTATAATACCTTTTTTTAAAAAAATTTAAAATAATTCACAAATATCCATAGATATCCATGGATACATGTGCGAGTATGGGGCAGATTTTTATTTGACGTGGCAAGTACAGGTATCCTATTACTCGCCTCCATGGGGCGCCATTGCCATCCCTAGTTAGGACTAAAGCAAAACAACACCCCTAAAAAAGCTACTTTTCCACAGGTTTGGACTATGCCAATTAAATTGAAATTGGACCCACTTTGTAGAATTCCAAATTTGCCCCTTCCTCTTTCTCATCCTCCTGAGCCGAATCATTTACTCTAACAGAATGTCTCTTTGTTGTCTATCAATGGTGGATCAGCAGCAAACCCATTGGCCACTACTTGCAAACCCATGTCTGGCGGCTTCAATGGTAATGGAGATGAGGGTGGACTTCATATAACTTGAATCACAATAGCTTCCTTCATATTTTCCTTTTGCCTTGGATCCATTGTCATGTTGTCATCCATAGATGCAATGATGTTTAATGATGAAGGCTCACCTAGAAAATGGTCTTCCCACCACATAGAGTGTTGTTCTTGATTATTTAAACTTCAAATGAATTATTTCAAATTTTGTAAAAATTTTGCAGATTAAATGTATTCATTATTAACTTTAAATTAAGGCTTGAATCATTGAAATTCAATGTAAATCATGAGTTATTGGATAAAAACACTCTATCAAAACTTACTCTTAGAAAAAATGAATCTCTTTCATTACCTTTCTTAATATAAGAAATTAATTTTATAAACAAAGTATTTCAAATATACATTAAAGCAAAATTAATTCGTTTAAATTCACAAATATCGTACTGATTTATGAGAAAATAAAATGCAACTTACACTTGTCAATGTTGTTTATCCCTTATTTGTGGTGTGCGTGCTTGGTGATTGGGAACATCACTCATGTTAGTCATGGACTTGAGTTAAGTACAAGAAATAAGAATTACTTCCTATATACTCATCATTTTAGATATTGCACACATCACATGTTCTGAGTGATTTGAGAAGAGAGACATAGCCTCGAAGTAATAAGGAGAGTGAATTCGAATTCTTCTACTAACAATTAACATTTGTTAATATATATATAT